GCGGCCCCCGCGTGCGCAGGGCCTGGGCGGCGCCCCGGTAACGGCATCCGGCCCCCCACCGCCGCGTCCCGAACCCGCGGACCGGCCCTCGCCGGGGCCCACGTGTTTCCCCAGCGGGCCGCTCTGCGCGCTCGTTCGCCTGGGGCTAGAACGTCTTCGTCCCCAGCCGCTCTGTCCCGGGAGCGAGGTTAGCCGGGAGCTACTGGCCTCGCGTGGCGGATGATTTGTTGTGATCGTGTGTGTGCGAGAGACAGACGCCGGAGGGGTAGGCGGCGGGCGGGTTACCGTAGTATTTAAGTTCGTCTTCGTTGTATTAGTATAGGAATTTGTCTGAGAGCTGGCTGGCGGCCTGTTCGGTAGACCCACTGTTCCAAACTTTTTAAAATGTGTACTCGGTTAGGAAAATCATTCTATATTTTTGCGCTGTTGTGATACACCGGTCCCGGTGGGTGGTACATTCGTTATCCTCTACTTAGTAGCGGTATTTGTGCTGGATATTTTTGCGATGGTCTTCCTATTTTAATACCGTGCCATTTTTAGGATAAAATGATTGAGTTATCTCCACAGCACCAAGGTGTTGTTAAGGATGTAAAAGTGAGATAGTGACTAAACTAGGTGAGAAATAGAAAAAAAACAGTAAACTTGATTTTGATTGCTGAATGAGATAAATGAGTTGATTATTTGAGTATTGTGGAACTTGACACCGCTTATGCAAATTTAGCATTTACTGTCTTGTTTTCCACATGCCAGTCTATCACTTTACATTATTTCACTTTAATCTTCCCAATAACCCTATGAAGTATGCATTATTAGCAAAGCCAAGTTCAACATGATAGCATCATGGGTCCTCATTGTGAAAGAGATTAAATTGATGCCTTTTAAAATCTTTTTCACCTCTCAGATGTCTGAAATATTTATCTTGGCGCACAGGTGAATTTGTGACATCATTTAAAATGGTAAAGACCATGGGCAGAATTCTAAAGAAAAGATATGTCCAGTCTTTGTACAATATTCTAGTTACTGTCATTGACATTTTTATGATATAAAGTTTTTCCAGGGGAAAATTGTGAAATTTCAGTGGACGACATAATCGAGGAATTAGGGTCTTTTTTAAAGTCCTTTGCTTTCGGTAGCGTACGTCTGTGTATACTCCAGTAATAAAGAGAAAAGGCTGGTGCTTTGTTGTATGGGGCACTATGTTTATTTATAGGGTGTTATATGCCAGGGTAAAATTAAGAGATACAGCCAGTTTTTGGAAGTCAACTCTGTATGAAATGGTACAGTACCTAGGAAAGAGGTTGGGGGGTTGGGTGGGCAAGAAAGCCAGAGTTGTAGACAGTCTTCAACTGGGAGCGCTAATAAGGTTGCTGAAAGTTTATTTGCTTTAGCAAAATGGGGGTAATTTTAGAGACTTAAATATCCCAAAGAAGTTGATTGACTGAATGGAAAGTTAAGCAGATGGAGATAGGGAGTAGAAGCCAGAGCTAATGGCAAAGCTGTGGACGTATTTAGGAGAAAGTTTTATACAGGAGAGATTTGACCTTGTGTATTGACTAAAAAATAACAAAACTCCCTTGTAAGCTGATAGGACATTTTAGTTTGAAACACAGCTATAGTGTTTAAAGGAAAATGATTAGGAACTTATATATGTTAGTTATTCTGGAAAAAGCACCATTTCACAAACAGTATTCTATTAAATCCAGATACATGAGGAAATTGAAATGGCTACCAAGAGGCACAGGTAGAATTTGAGCCAGGGTCAGACCCTTGGCTGTTAACCGCTTCCAACTTGTACCTTCTTACCCATAAAATAATTACTTTGAGCTAAACTATTAATCCTGATAAAGGCTAGAGAGGAGAATGTTCGCTGGCTTGTTACTTACTTTTGAAAGCAGTGATTTTCTGATTTTGTTTATACTAATTGTATTGTTAAGACCTGACTCACTGCTGTTGCCATTCTGCCAAAACTGACCATTATGATTATGCTTCTTACTGCGTTTTACGTTATTCATGTTATGTTTCTGACTATGAATATTTGGTATTTAAAAATACTCTGTTCTCTGCTTTGATTCCCTTCTCAGCTTCATATCCGGCTGCATATTCTATTTTGACTTTGAATCTCCTTCTTCAGCCCTTCTACTACTATCTCTAATTAATAGCTTCTTTATTTCTTTATTTACTGTGTCATGAAAATACTTGACACTTTCCATTCACCATTAGTGTCTATGTAACACCTGGTCACTAACTAAGGAAACCATATTGGCTATTAATACAGGGGTAAGATTTCCTTAAGTGCCAGGGATTAATCATTTTAAGGCAATACCAAGAATCGGGTTGTAGACAGCTGAAAGCTAAACAGACATGAAGGTTGAGCAAAGTAGCCTTACAAGAAAATTGTGCAGTTTGAGGGCTCACCTTTTTTCCTAAGTTCATGATTCTCTCAGTGAATAAGTGTCTATTTTCTATTTTTGTTTAATGTACTACTTCATATTGCAAACTTTAAAAGCCTCTTTTTATATGAATTAAGTAAAAATTGATGGTATAATGAGGATGGTATAAAGAAATACAGAATAACAATAAGTATAATTTAAAGTTCTTTTTAATGAGGTTTATATTTAGGAATTGATACCTGTCCAGGAAAGTTAAATTAGCAATTAGATATTACATAAGTTTTTAAAATTTTGAAACTGTTCTTCCAAAATATCTTTTTAGGGACTCTCTTAGGGAACCTATGGATCAATGCAATTGAGAACACATAAGTTTGATAGTATTTTTGTAAAAACAGAATTGAAAGATGATGGCCAAAATCTTGGAGCTTGTAGTTTTGATACTAAACAAATTTTACTACAAAGATTAGAGAAATAGAATTTATTTTGTTGTACTTGAACTATTCTGTATTATTTTTATAGCTAACACACTCTTGAATTAGAATTTTAACTATTACTATTTTAATTCAGTGTTAAATTAAGCACAGTGTGTCGTGCATCAAACTAGAGCATTAGTGAATATTTAAGGAAAAGAAAAATATTACCTGGGTTTGGAAAAAGCATTAATGTTAACACCTGAAGGAAATAATAATATTTCTTTATTATAAAGTGGTATTATTTTTTTCTTCTGTTTTTGAACAGATGCTTGCATATACCACCCAGGTGTTCCAGTCTTTCATGATGCATTAAAGGTAGGAACTTGATATATTTCATTGTCTTCATATTTGTATAGTAAATTTAGAGATATAATACTAAATCTTTATTGTCTCATCTTTTTTTTCCACAGTGCGTGACTTTCTGCTTTCTTAAGGATCATTTTGGGGTGCTTTAATCAAGTACTCCACTAAAGGCAAATTACTGGAAATTTTATTTAATAAAATTGTTATTTCTACCTCAGTTCTCATTTTCTCTACTCCACGTTTCTTTACTTTCCTAAATTTGAGGAGAAATACAAGTAGTTGTATTGAATCTTAAGCTCTCAGTCTATCAGACAGGTGCCGTCTAATAAGAGCAGCTCTGAATTTTAGGAAAGATTATAAACACTTGAGAATGGTGCCCATCTCAGGACTGACATGTAAGTTTACAGAAAAGAGATGCCACCTGTTTTCCGGCTGTACTTCGTTAATGTTCCGGAGAAATAGAGAAATAATAGAATGTTGTTTGACCAGGTTTTTCATTTCGGTTCTGTTGATCTTTCAGAATTTATGATAATATGGTACATTTTCCATTGTGTATCTCAGAATGTTGCCGCATGGCTGCCTTGGTTTTAGGTGTTGCTACTTGTTCTTAGGAACATAAACACAGTCGTAAATATTTAAATATTGTCAGTTCCCTTTGAGTTTTTTTTTATTATAATTGACCTTTGTTTTAAAAAATTACAGGGAATGATTTTCAGCATATCTTATTTTATAAAAGTACTATATCAAACATTTTAGATCACTGTTAATTCTGTTGAAAAAGTGCCCCTTTTTTGTAAGGTACTAATTTTAATTGATGGGATACATGCCCTTAAAATAGAAAGTTTCCATTATTTATTCTAATGTCAAAGATGATAGACAAATTTATTGCTTTATGGTTTGGCAAGATGCTATTAGGATATTTTAGGTAAATAATCTTTAATAATTATGAAATTCTGTTGAAAACTTTTAGGATAATTTACAGAAAACATTCAAATTACATTTTGAAGGGGTAGGCTAGTATAGAGATTTATATGTGAAGTAGCTCTTTAAAGAAATAAGACAAATCGGTCTGTCTGATACATGCATAATTGAAATTAATAAAACTTGCAAGACCAATATTGTTACGCTATATTATTAGGATCTCAAAACACACACACACACATTGTTTCTAATTATACCTTTCAGGGAGTAGATGGACTTTTTTGACATTTAACTGTTAGATAGCCAAGTATAAACAAAGATGTACAAGGAGATAAGTGTGTTAGTCTGGTTCTAAGCCAGGAAAATAAATATTCAATGGGGCGAGTTGAGACCTGACTCCTACTTTCATCTTTTTAGCCTTTTTACAAATTTGTGAGGTTGGAAACTGTGATTCTGTAGGAATATTTATTTTTGCGGGATTGGGGAATTTTCTCTTTCTTGGACTGCTTTTTATTCTATGCTTATTTTTCTTGTACACTTTTTTCTATGCTGTTTTCCTCTTATCTCCAAATCATAATCAGACTTCACTGCTCAGTCTTTGGGCTTCTTCTTTTCTCATTTTAGTTCATTCCTACCCTTAAATGTCACCTCTATGCCAATGGCTTCTAGAACATATTTCCATTTTTGTATGTCATTGGCAGCCGTGAACCATTATCTGAAGTGGACTCATTCCAAAAATAGCTTTGCCTCTCACCTTTGTCGCTGTTAGTAATGATATCACTAACTTTTGGTCATTTAGTCTACATCTCTCTGTTTTTACTACACAACTGTTAATCACTCAGACTGATTAATCTTAATGATTTTACTTTTAAGTATTTCTGTTCTCTAATTCTTTTGCTTATTATTGTCTCCATAAACATTTCTTGAATATCCAGATTTTCCAAGACTGTTGGATTTCACAGCCCAGTAAATTTCAGACGAAATTCGTCGATATAGTATCTAGTGTCTGTTGTTGCCGGTTTTCTTTTTGACCAATTAAGGCATTAAATATTACATTAACAAGTGACAGAACACTTTAATGTTCAAATTAGAAGAGGCATATTCAGAGAAAAGGACAATCCTACTTAAGAAAAGTCAGCAACCTTATACACACATACTTAAAATTATCCTTCCTTTTCTCATTTTACTGAGAACTATGGATCCCAGTTTGGCATTTAGGAACAATTAGTCTGTTTTATGTATGTATCCCAGTATCTCCAGAATCCCTGATGTAATTCTTGTTTAGAATAACTTTTCTGATGACTATATTATCAGTGCTAATTAAACCCTATATTTAGTTGTTGTAACTTTTCATCTATATTTCAATTCAGAATAAAAGAATCAAAATAAAGGAAAATTTGAATTATAGCACATTGAACATAAAAAAAACCTTTAAGTGCATATTGTGGGAAAAAAAAAATCACTGCCAAATTCTTCAAGCAGTATATTGAGAAAAATAGTGAGGCCCAGATAGGTATGTGTAAAGCTAGCCCTTAGTCTATTTGAGACACCCCAAGTCTTGAAACTGCCTTTTTATTTCCTTAGTCTCTGCACTACACTAGAGTTATAGATGACAACTTAAAGCTATTTTTTGGTAGGCCAGTTGATATTTTGTTCAGAAATTATGCACCACATTACAATTTCTATATTTTTATGTTTCTCACTGAAAAGATCATTTAACTTTCAAAGGTCTCGCACTGCTTATGCGGCTGCATTAATTAATCTGTTCTGAAAATAGGTAGAAAGCTTATTGAGGAATAGCTACAATGAGTTCATTTCGAAACTTTATTGTAATTATCTCAGACTTACTGCATTTTTCACTTCCTAAGTCTTTTAAAATATATGCTGTATTTAGAAATTATAAATTGTTTTCTAAAATCAAGTACTATTTTTAATACAGAAGCAATTTCTCTTTATTTTTAAGGTGCTTCCTTAAGGTAGATCTCACTACACATCACTTCTAACATTCGTTAACTTTTTTTCAGACACCTCAAAACTGTGAAATACATATATATTCAAGCCACTTCTGGATTCAAGTAGATAAGTGCAAGTGCACTGTTTCACTGTGTGTGGTTCTCATGCAGATAGTTTTCAGTTTTTATTCTCTTGTGTTTCATAGGGGTGGTCTTGCTGTAGAAGAAGAACAACTGATTTTTCTGATTTTTTAAGCATTGTAGTAAGTATTAATTTTTTTCCTAGATTATCACCTGAAAATTACATATTGGGAGTTACAGATTTGAGGGATCTGATTTTGGACATCTATTGATGAATTCCTGTTACCTTGCAGACAGTACCTTTCTTTTAAAATGGGGCTTACCTCCTGTCTACAGTCATTAAAATAGGAATTTTAATATTTTAGAAATGAAGGTTTCAAGATATGCATTACCGACTTGTCAATTTAGGTTTATGCTTGATGTTAGTAGTCGTAAAAGAACATCAAGAAGAAGCAAAGGGTAGGCAACAATTTAATGCATTTTCAATTAGGAACAATAAATTTTTATTGAATCTAAAATACTATCGAAGTACACCATTCTTTTGTATACCCTTAAGAAAGAAAACTAAAGCTGTTAATGAAATAACATTGAAATGCCATTGATCTTACGATTTCAGAGATATTAAAATGTAAGTATGAATCAGTGGAATACGGAAAAGGTAGCTAGCATTTATTGAATATTTGCCACCTGCCAGATGTACGAAGTATTCTGTTGTTTAATTTTGTTGTTTTAATCCTTTCAAAGTGCCGTTATCTTCATTTACTGATGAGTAAACTGAGGTTTAAAAAGGTTAATTTGCTCAAGGTCATATAGCCAGTAAGTAGCCGAACTGAGGATCACATTGAGGCCCTTTTTTATAAATGATTTGTAGAATTCTCTTAGATCTCCAGAATTTGTTTCCTATATAAAGGGAGTTTATGCTGTACATTTAATAGTTAAGTAGATATTTATGAAGTATTTTTTAAAAGTCTTTTAAAACGCATTACTCGTGTAATAACTCATTTACAAATAGAGCAAATTTGTTTTCCTGTTTTTAGTTTCTTAAAATAATGTGATAAAAGTGGAGAAAACATACAAAAGAGGATTTTTTAATAAAGAATTGAAAAATAGTATTTTTTTCATGGCATGTGAAATAGATGATAGGATAATTCTTAATACCTTTCACTAACAGGGCTGTACAAAAGGTAGACATAATAATGAAAAGCCACCTGAGCCAGTCAAACCTGAAGTCAAGACTACTGAGAAGAAAGAACTATCTGAATTGAAACCCAAATTTCAGGAGCACATCATTCAGGCCCCTAAACCAGTAGAAGCAATAAAGAGGCCAAGGTACATTTTTTTACAGTTGCATATTATTTGTTTCTGGTATTTCCTTTTATGATTTTGTATAATATCATTTGTAGCTGTCAGTGTAGGTCACCAACTTTTGAACCATTTTAGCTATGCCTTTCATTTTTATTCCCCCTCAGCTAAGGGCATGTACACAGTAAAATCCATTGCAGACTTGTTCACTGCATCATCATCATTATGGCAAGGTGAGGAAGCCATGCATACTTCTTATGACTTGGCTTGTATCTTTCACTGTGGCATAGTGAAATTCTGTAAAGGAGTTGTCCTTGTTGGTTAATCAGTTTGAGTTGAAAAAGAACTTAGAGGTCTTGTTTTCCATTCTTCTACTGTTTCTCAAATATCTTCTAGGACATTCTTGACAGAAGAATATTTACTTTCAAATAATTCTAGTGAAGAAGAATTTACTTTTATAGTAGTCCATTATATTACTAAATCAGTGTATAATTTTTCCTGTGTGTTGAGCCAAATTATTTCTTTCTTTGTCCATATTTTGCCAGTTAGAACAAGTCTGTCACTCATCTGTTTTCAGATGCCTGGAAACTGTTAATCTCGTTATCACTGACAAGTTTTTATGTTTTTGATTTAAATTGTATATCTGTTAAAAGTACTTTTAAAAGGCCTTTTGCTTATTTTGCAGTAGAATTATACAGACTCCATACTCACCTTCTGATCAACTAGATTATATTTAATTTTACATTTCCATACATACATATTGGGTACCACTATTATGCCAGGTTTTTTTCATGTCGCACTTGAGTATCAAATTGTTTTAGAACCAAAATATAAGAATTAAAAAAAAGATGGGTTTTGGCTTCATATATGCCCCCTGTTGACATTTTATTCACTCTGTGGACTTAGGGTTTTTCTAACTTTTTCTTTATTGATCTTACTTAAACAAATTTATAACATATTGACTAATACTAAACCAAAATAAGAACCCTAAGAGACATCTTGAGGTTTGTTTGTTTAACCACACTACATAGCATGATTTTATTCCATCTTTACCTTATTCTTAATCATGAGAGACTTTATCAGATGTCTTGCTGGCTGATTTGGCAGGTAGAAAAAAATAATCAGAAAAAGACAATTCTGACATAGCTCATTCTTAAGTATTACAGTGGACTCTACTATAATTGACAATATGAGTTAATATTTTCTTTAAATGATGGACTGTTTCACTTAAGAGGAAGTGAGGGAAACATCCTAAATTCATTTAGTGGTATTGCAAAGATAGCTTTTTATGTACTTTGTTAATGCCTCCTACATCATTAGTTTTATTTTATTAAGGATGTAGAATGAATAACCTATAGTTTCTATTTTTATTGCTGCATTTATTAGTATTCTTAATACTTATTTACTGTCTTAAAAAATTGTACATATGTTATAAAATGTCGTTACTGTGTTTTTGGCTCCATTAAAATTGTCTGCGATACAGTTGTATCCGAATTTATAGATGTATGGTACCAGTGTTCACGCAAAGTGAATTATCTCCCAGTAGAATGTCTCCACTAAGTGGATTCACTTAGTACATACTGCCTTTTGTTTATATACTCAGCATTTTGCTTAGGCATAGAATGTAAAATTACAATAACTTCCTTGGAGTTACTCATCTTAACAAACTTGGATTCCTAATCTTTACTTTTTTCCCATTAGCCCTACTGATTAATAATTTAATGTATTGGCAATAGCATGATTAGTCAGGACTTAATATTGTAATATCAGAATCTTTTTTGTTAAAACATAGAAATGTCAGTACATTATAGCGGTTATTTGTAAAATACTTTTTAATGGGAAAAAGTTGATTCATCAAGTATTTGGGCTCTTCATAAATAGGCTCTTAAGTATATTTATTTTAGCACAAAGGAATATTTGTGCTAAAATAAAAAAGGAATATATCATTAATGGTAATAAAGTCTCAAAATTCTCCAGCCCAGATGAACCAATGTCAAATTTGGAATTGAAAGTATCTGCCTCCCTAAAACAAGCACTTGATAAACTTAAACTATCATCAGGGAACGAAGAAAATAAGAAAGGTAAGGTTTTATTTTGTATTTTTTTCTGTATAATTAACCAATTATCTAAAAGAACCAGAAGCCATATAGTTTAATGAATGTATATTTGAAAAAGTAACACATTGTAGTAAAGAACTTAATTTGTTTTCTAAATGCGAGTAATACCACAGAATGACTACGTGGTTTATTCAGAATGAGAGTTTGTTAAATTTTTTCTTTTGATTCATTACTTTTTAACAGTGAGTTAAATTTCTTTAATAATTGTAAATGTTACATTGTCCATGAGGTAAAAAAATTCGGTGTTTTATAATCTTTACCTGATACCATGGGAGGAAAGTATCCTTTCACTTCTCTTTTATAATGTTAAGATATTGAATATAGTATTGTATTATAGAATAGAAATGTCATATATCATGTTGAGTACATCAGCAAAACCTAATCATGATAGTTGCCTTCTTAATAGCTTTTTAAATACATTGCCTGGGAACACAGAGAAAACGTTCTTATTTTAAAATGTCAGTGTTTTTGCATTTAGATTATTTTTTTAAATGCCTGTTTTATGGAAATGTTTCCTTTTTAAGAATGGCACTACAGTAAAGAGTTCTGTTTTACTGTTTCTTATTTGATTTTTTTCCCTTTGTTTCAGAAGAAGACAGTGATGAAATTAAGATTGGGACCTCATGTAAAAATGGAGGGTGTTCAAAGGTATATGTTGTAAAATTTATGTTGTGTCATGGAAGTAAAACTTTAATTTTGAAAAAAAACTACAGTTTACTGACTCAGTTCACAGATTTGCATACCTATTACATGTTGGGCACTATGCTGTGAGCTAGGGCTATGAACATGGATAAGAGACTGAGGAGTATCATATCTGATAGAATCTTGGGAATAAATAATTCTAATTCAGTCAGCATTTACTGAGCACTTACTACGTGTCACACATTGAGGGCTGGGGACGTGGTATTAAAGCAAAAATCTCTTCATGCTAAGCTGGTATTCTAGTTTAGAGAGAGAGAGAGAACAAATAGGTAATTAAATATGATTTCAGGTAGTTATGAAGAAAAGAGGATAGAGAGAAGCTATTTAAGATTTCAGAGAGGTCTTTTGAAGTGTTTACACTAAGTTAAAAATCTGAATGTAGCAGATGGGTTCTATAAACCTTGGAGTAGATATGGGAGTAGTATGTGTAGAGGTTTTAGATCTTGTCTTTTCAAGGAATTAAGAGAAAGGTTAGTCGGGCTTGGGCAAGGGTGTGTAAGTAGTGGATAAGAGGTAGGCAAGATTAAGGAGGTTCTTAAAAGCCATAATGAGGGGTTTGGGCTTTATTCTAAGTATAATGGGAAGCTATCCGTTTTAAGGAGAGGTTTTAAAATATATAGCTTTGGCTGCCAATAGCAAACATAATGGGGCAGGAGTGGAATTGGAAAAAGGAACCAGCTAGTATGCTGTTGCAGAAGACCAGGCAGTGGGGTTGGAGAGTATGTTTTTGAGAAGTACTTAAATGTGGGAGGTGATCAGACATCTCAATGAGGCTTTTTCTTACCTACAGTATGTAAAATTGCATACCCTTCAGCATTTGCACTCTTACTCTTCTCTTTGCTCCTAGCACGCACTTCCTTATGACCTGTCACTTATTTTGCATATTGATTTCGCTTATGATCTGTCACATCTAACTTTCCTTTTCCTCCTTAATGTGAGGTTTACAAAAAAAGGAATTTGTTCTTTGCAGTATTTTGAATGCTTAGAGCAATGCCTGGTACATGGCAAATACATGTAGCATGAATGATATTTGGAAATATTAACAGGACTTGGTAATGAACCAGAAGTGAAGGAAAGGGGCTTATAGCTCCAGTGTCTAGGTAATGGATGGCACCGTTAACCAAGAAGGAGAAGACAGGGTTGGGGAGCAGGTTTGTGGTTTTCTCTCATGTTAAATTTGAGATTGCGTTGCCATTTAGGGATGTAAATATAAATGTATTCATATGTTTATCATGTTTATAAGGTATAAGTAGTAGATAAAAGATTAATTCTTGCAATAGGAGCGATAGTGCAAGTAAAGTGGTAGGGTAGTAGAGGAAGATCAGACAGAAGGTATCCCAGATGAATTTTGAAAAACAAATGACAATTCTCTAAATAGACAAAAAGGCAAGATTTCCCAAGCAGAGATGATAGCAGTAGTATACAGAAAACAATAAATTGTTAATAATAATGGTACAGAATTTGCTGGTGTGAAGTTGAGATTAAAAGAGAAGTGTAGGGGTCAGATCTTGAAAGACTTGTATAATCCTCAAGAGTTAGACTTTACTTTGGGTTATGGAGGCCACTAAAGAAATTTTTAAATCTTTTTCACTGAAATATAACATTTAAAAGTATACAAATGTAGATTTATAGCTCAAGGAATTTTCATAAAGCGCTAGAACCCTTCATATGTCTCCTCACTCTCTCTCTCCCAAAGGTAACCACATTTTCTTTTTATCAACATAGATTAGTTTTCCCTGTTTTTGAATTTAATGCAAATAGAATCATAGAATAGGTATCCTTGTGTCTATTTTCCTTTCCTTAATAAGATGTTTGTTAAGAGTTACTTTTGTTGCATGTAGTTTGTACATTTTCATTGCTTTAAAATATACCATTGCTTGAATATGCCAATTTATCCCTTCTACTGCTCTTTAAATTTTTTTGATTAATGATACTAAACATTTTTTGAACATGACTTGGGACAGGTGTAATTTCTGTTAAAGATGTGACTAGAAATGGAATTGCTGGATTATAGGGTGTGTATATGACCAGCTTTAACAGATATGTCTATATAGTTTCCCAAAGTAGTTGTATTTACACTCGTACCAGCAGTTTGTGAGGCTGGTTTCCTTTTTCTACACCTTGGTATCACTTTATAATATCAGCCTTTTATATTTTATATTCTTTTTATATTCTGGTGGATGTGTAGTGTTTCCCTCGTGGTTTTAATTCCCACTTTCCAGTTGATAATTGAGTACTTTTCTGTATATTTATTGATCATTTGGATCTTTTGTGAAATGTCCAAAATCTTTTATTTTTCTCTTAAATTGGCTTTTTCTTATTGATTTTAGGACTTCTTCATATATTTTTAGCTACAAGTTCTTTATCAAAGAGACATTATACATTTTCACTAACAATGGCTTTCAATAAACAGAGGCTTTTTAATTTTAGTAAAATCCAATTTACCCATATTTTCCTTTGCGACCAGTGCTTTCTGTGCCCTATTTAAGAAATCTGCTAATTTCAGGGCCATGAATTAGAATCTCTTAGTATAGTCTCATTGCCTAAAATCTGCTAGTGATCATGAAGAAGGTTAGCAGATTAAACTGATAGATATTTTTAAGACAAATTGACAGGTTTGTGATAGACTACATATGGGTGGAGGAAGAAGAGAAATTGAAGAGGACTTAACAGTTTTGCTTTGGGAGACTGAGTGGATATGGTGCCATCAAGTAGGTTTGGGGGGCAACAGTGATAAATTCAGAGTCTAATATACTGAGTTTACATGCTTATGGAATATCTTTAGGATATATACACCCCCAGTAGTTTGGATATCCAAAAAGTAAACGTGCAGAATTCTATTTTCTGTACTCGTAGGTGGTTGTAATAAATAACCAAAATAGAATTATACTACTGGCCTCATCTGTGTTATATTAACATAACTTTTTGTGAATTCATCTGTAGAGCCTTCACCTACAGCAGCAATGTTGGCCCGGATCTTCCAGACAAACCCTGGATATATATATAGGTCTGCAGCTCATTTTACCCTTCATAGGGATAAGAAATCATCACTCTAAAACTTCCAGAATTGCTTATTAGATTTTCCATATTAATTGATAATGCACACACAGAATTGATGCACATAAATCATGCTGTATTTCTGTTGAGATTACTAATCTCTTGGTTTTAATATTATATTGTAAATTTTAAATACCTGAATGTGCTCGGATGTGACCTCATGCCTAAAAGTCTAAAAGCATCTTAATACATCCTGTTGCCTACTCTTCTGTTTGCCTTTTTTCATAGGGAACTGAAACGTAAACATATCTAAAAAAGAATCATTTTTCATTCCTTGTTAGAATGGCCCAGGGTGAATTTATGAATGTTCTAAGTGATTATTGTTATTTCTTGAGCATTTTCATAATTCATAGAGGTCATCAATACTACAAATAATGTGCGAAATGTAACGTTGAGATATGAAGTTAATTTTTTTTCTTTTTTCTCTTTTAGACGTATCAGGGTCTACAGAGTCTAGAAGAAGTCTGTGTATATCATTCTGGAGTACCTATTTTCCATGAAGGGTAACTTATACATGACTAATAAAAACTTTATGGTACAAGTTAGAAAAGTTAATATGCCTTTATACATTATTTGTCATGCAGTGTAATTAGATATTTTATTTACATCGTTATATAATCTTTACAGTAATCCAGAAATGTGAGTTTTATCTTCTTTTACACATGAGAAATTGAAATAGTATTACAGTTAAGTGGCCATTGTGGTTCAAACCTCATGTTTCTCCATTATACTTCGATGTGATACTTTGTTGGGCTAAGTAGTATTTTGTTTGAAAGACTGTCCTGCACATTTAGGACATATAGAAATTTTGACCCTGAGCACTAAAATGCCTACACTGGCATCCAAGAAAACTCATACTTTTCTACAGCCCTCAGTTGAGAGCCTCTCTTCTGTATTACCCTGTAGTTTGTAAAAACACGGTACTGTGTTAAAATCTTCCACTCTGTTTCCAGTATTCTTCAGGAGTCAAACCCAAAGGTTTACTATAATTTTTGTCTTCCGGGGTTAGATTTTTCTCAAGGGATAGTGGATTTCACCTACTGTGGGACTGACCTTCACAGGTTGTGTAAACATTATTTTTTAGTTTGTTTGAATAGTCTCACTTTGCTGGGTTACTCAAATGTGAGGATTTTAAAGTTTTGGTCATACCATTTTTTGGTAACTTCAAGACAGTGGAATGCAAGCTATCAGTGAAAAGCTGATTCAGAATTTTGTGTTTGGTTTTAAGCATCTTTATTTAGGAGCTCCAAAATTGCTATAATAAATTTCATCTGATTTTAAAATTACTAGTCTTCTGATAATAATTAAAGTTTTAAGTGTTTGATAACTTAGACACTTCTAAGGTCCTAAAGTTCGCACTTAATAATTTTTTGGAATCACTGTCACGATAATACTTCTGGACTTAATTGGTTGTGAGATTTTATTTCTGAAATTTTTCTCTGCTAATTTAAAGGATGAAATACTGGAGCTGTTGTAGAAGAAAAACTTCTGATTTTAATACATTTTTAGCCCAAGCAGGCTGTACAACAGGGAAACACCTGTGGACTGCAAAGGATGCTGTAAGTCACCTTTTCAAAATAATGCATTAGGATGTATTCATCTGAGTCATTTTAAAAGATTTGAGAGTATTCTGTCTTTAGATTTAAAGAAAAACGTTTTCTCTCCCTCACACAGTATAGATTTTCAAAAAAAATTTTCTTTCCTCACACAGTAAAGTTTTGAATGGCCTAAAAATTAAAATTTGAGTCAGTCTCTCAGATCCTGCCGTTTGATCAAAACAACCATTACATATGCTGATGATGCAACCATATAAGTGTTTGTGAAATACTTAAGCCTGCCAAAATTAGAGCATATTTTTTTGTAATTCCATAGCCTGTTCCCATTTTTTTGTTTCATAAAAATCACTTTTTTACTCATTTGATATTATTGATCACTTAGACTTCTGATTCTCTTGCCCACTTAGAACTTCATTCAACCATTTACAGATGGTTGACGTCATCTAGTAGCCAATGAGGAGGATTGCAGACTTGTTTTATATACCTCTGCTTGCCACAGGAAAATTTACCAAAAATAAAATAAATAAAATATCAGTTTCTGCTTCTCTGTACGACTTTTAAAAAGACTGGATTCTACAGATAATTCCCCAAAATCCCATTAAGTTATGAGAAGGAAAGCAATTTATTGCTAAATGTTTGATAGCTATTATTTATGTGTTTCATAATAAATTAGTTTTATGTGCTGTATTGGCACTACTAACCGCAAGGCAATGAACTTTTCAGTATATGTGTCTTTTATAAAGTAATTGTAAATTTTCATATTGCTTTAAGAATTCATTCTATATTTGAGTATTTTATAGTTTCTGCTTTTTTAATAGCACATAGTTGGAGATTATCATAATGCATCTACCATAAAACTAGTTTTATAAGCAAAAGTGAAGTCTCCCTGTAATTTCTCCAAGGTCCAAAAGTTGAGAGATTTAGTTCGAAAAAATAGGCTGTTGTTTTCTGTTATATGTAAGTTTTCAGAATCTAACCCTTGATGAAATGTTTTTGTGATCATGATTTGTCTCTTTTTCAAGTAGTTACTGATAAAGCAATGTACCACTGGTAGGGTAATAATTATTTCCCTAATAGTAATAAAAAGATTACTTCCACAAATTCCCCCCCCCTTTTTTTTTTTTTTTGCATAGTATGAGAGGAAAGTAATTAATAACAATAGCAGATGGTTATAGTCAGTTATTTTTTTCCCAGATTCCCAGATGCACATGGTAATTTTTTTCTCACTTATATGTGTCAGTTTATATGTCGCTTTGTAAATTCATAAAGTTTGTCTTATATTACAGGGGAAAAAAGTCGTTCCGTGTAGACATGACTGGCATCAGACTGGGGGTGAAGTCACCATTTCAGTATATGCTAAAAATTCCCTTCCAGAACTTAGTCAAGTAGTAGCTAATAGTACATTGGTAAGTACACGGAATATCTCTGAGTAAAAATTGGCTTTATGCATTATTCTTAATGTTGACGTAATGTTCTTGTTTGAGCTGATTTTAAGATCTTTTTTCCAATTGAAAATATAGTTCCAAATTACTTTCACAGAAACTATTTTAATGAAAATTTCTGCATAATAGAGGTAGTTCTAAAGCATTCCAGAGATAATTATCATAGCCTGGAAGATTTATCAGTTAATATGGTACTTAGTTCTCAGTGTGAAACTTCAGGTTAATTCTTTTTCGTTTATGGTTTTCTCAAATAAAATACAATATTGGCAGTTTATTAAAATAGCTTAAATGATTTTTATCAGTGTATCTTTTTTATATAATCATTGTTTTATGTCATAAACCTTCAGTTTGGATTTGATCAATTATTCAACTTTCTATATCTTTTTCAGTTAAATGTACACATTGTATTCGAAGGAGAGAAGGAATTTCACCAAAATGTTAAATTATGGGGTGTAAGTATCATGTATCCAGGAGAGTTTTTTCTTACAATTTAAAATACTGTTTGTACAATAAAAGGAAGAAGTTTAGTAATTGATGCAAAGTAGGTATATGACTTGCTTATATTTTTACCAAAAAGTTGAAATGTAGGTTTAGAAATGGCATTAAGAGACTTGGGTTTTTTATTATAAACATAAGCAAGACCAATATTTTCCTCTAACACTAATAAAACCACCCAGGTTTACTGTAATTCTCTTTAATATGTTGCAGGTGATTGATGTAAAGCGAAGTTTTGTAACTATGACTGCAACAAAGATTGAAATCACCATGAGAAAAGCTGAACCTATGCAGTGGGCAAGCCTTGAACTGCCTGCAACCCAAAACCAGGAAAAACAAAAAGAAGATAAAACAGAATGAGAGTTGAGAGGGAATAAAAATTATTGCCTCTTTCAGAATTTTTAATATGTGGTGATGTAGCTTGCTGCTGTAATCTTTTGTTTTGTTGTTGAATCTGGCATTTCAGGGTCAACAGTAGATTCTTAAAAGCCAAAGTCAGATTATCTTTTTGTGCCTCCCACTTTTCTTTTGAGTTACCTAAGATTGATTATTCATTTCTCCTCACTAGTAGAACTGTAGTTGTGTCCTATACTTGAAGCTAGAAGATAGATCATAAACAGTTACAGTACTTCTTAATATAATGTTAAGCGAGAAATATATAAGTACCATTTGTTTATATCTCTATTATTCCATAATTGTAAAGCAAGATGGACTGTCAAATTTTTAATTAGTTTTTTTCATAAGTTTGTGTTCCTATAATACTTGAAAATCTTCAAGGAAGAGTTCTGCAGTGTTTTTTCCACTTGAGTCAGTTACTGTCTGTAGGAGGATTCTAAGGTAGTATAAATAGATAAAGAGGAATATATGCATTGATCAACAAATTTGAATTTGTTTACAACTAATTGAAATGAAAAATTATATCTACCTATATTACTTGCCAAGCAGTATGATGTAGGAAAACATTATAAATAAGAGTATAGAGGTATCAATTTGGTTAAAATTCCTATTTTATGAGACTAAGCAATAATGTTAAATATCTCCTGATTATTTATAAGGTCTTGGTATGGTGTTATGACTAAATTGTATCTGAATTATAGTCTGTACCCTCTTACAATCTTTAATTACATGTAAAGAAATTAAATATATATCTGGCTTCCCTGATTGAAAACTATATAAAATTATATTTAAAAGCTTATGGGAAGTACATTAGTGTATAAGAAAACTAAATATTTAAACTTTGCTTTATGATAATTGTATTATATGTTAAATAGCTTAAATGTTTTGGAGGGTTTTTCATGAAAAATTTGACAATTCTAAGTGATACAATGTTGATTATTGTACTTTATTAAATAAATACCACAGAATTAGATTGTTTATGCTAATTGAACCCATTGAAGGGTAACTTACTCTTTGAGGTAGTACAGAGCTCAGAAAGAAAATGAAAAATAAATGTTATGAAGGCCAAAACTCTGGCAGAACTTAAGTTTGGGCATGAATTATGCTTACATAGATTAAAATGATTATTTCCTAAGCCCCTTGAGTGTTTTTCTTTTTTTGATATTAGTGGAATTCTTAGGAGAATTTGCAGAATACAGTGTTAAAGAGTTAATATATATCACTGTACTACCTTAGCAAATAGCTATTAGATGCAACTATGTAATTATTAAATATTTAGCTCTGTTACAAATAAAGGCATAAAAACGACAACCAGGCTTTCATGACACTGAAATACCATGGCAGGACATTTGGGGCAGTAAAAATTAGACCCAAATAGAGTATATAAGTTTATAATACTTGAGTTGTATTTAAATTTTTAAAAGTTATCTTTCATAATTTAGGAACCTGAGTTCATTTGAGACATGAAATCCTGTTGTTCAGGGGAGAGATTGATACTTGATTTAACTCTGAGGTAATGGTTAATAGACCCTTTTTTGAGGTTTTCTTTTTGAGCCTGTTTTCCCCTCAGCAGTATCTTAGTATGTATGTGCAGTTGAACTATTATTTAAAGCAAGTGGATTATACATACACCTAAGAGTTAAGTACAAAGCACTGACCTTTTTCTTGGATACAGTTTATGTATTTAGTCTGGTTATATTAGTGACCCTTTTCTTTCTTTCCTTATTAAACCTCTGAGTTTGTTGCCTAGAAAAAAATCTAAATGATACTTATCTTTGGCTCATATATATAGACAGTTATAATTAGGTAAGAATGTGTTTTATCAGTCTGTCAAAAAAATAAAAAATGGTTAACTGTTAAGTTTCTCTAGAAACATGCTTTGTTTTTCTCAGCATTCAGAGTACTTACAGCAAAGCAGTCAAAGCTAGGTTTATTATACACTTGGTAACTAATGATAGCTAAATCAACCTCTTATTTTTAGATAATTTTAGACTTACAGAAGAGTTGCAAAACAAAAGTACAAAGTTTGTTATATCCTATATTAATATTCCCCTTATGTTAAAATATTACATGACCACAGAACATTTATAAAGCTAAGTCTAGGTACAATACTATGAACTAAAATAGAACATTAATTTTGACCATCTGTTTTTAGTGGAACACTATTAAAGGGTAATTCTTGAGACCTAGCATTTTTTTTTTTTTTTTAAATTTAAGCAAGGAATGTATAAACCATTAATATAAATGGAAATCAAACTAACAGACAAATGCTTATAGGTCAATGATAGGTAATTCGTAACTGTATCCTGGCAAAGAATTTGTCAGAATTTATATTTTATGCCATAGATTTTAAATTTTTATTAAGTACAACTTGTTTGATTTTCTTTAGCCAATTCTTCAGCCACATAAGGGTAAAGAGAATCTTAATTTTTACAAATAATTTAAGGTGACTTTGGATTATTGCTCTGCTGCCCCTTGCTTTAAAAAAAAAACAAAAAACATTCCCTAGTCTGAAAATGCTTGTCAGGCATATACCCACAATAAAAATTTTTAATGCTCTGGTGTCAGTTTTAAGGCATTGGGTATGTACTCTAACTTATTTTTAGCATCTAGATACTTTCAAGTTACCTGTTAGAACAGTAATAGGTTTTTTTTGTTTCATTGCAAATTTTTTTGATCTAACATTTATATTTGGTATTTGTTTTGATTCTTTTGCATATATCATAACACTATGTCCTCAGTTCCAAAATGCAAGCTAAGTCCATCTTGTTTTAGGTTTTGTTAATTGGCTTTTTTTTTTTTTTTTTAACCATTTAATTGTTCATTAGGTAACTGGGAATTTGATTCTTTAGCTGATTGCTTCCTCATTGCCCAAGTATCTTACAACTTAAACTCATCTGGAATTATTGCATGGCTTGCCTTCTAAGGGTAGGTGCCTGGGGTTTTATACATGTAGCATTATCCCTGAAATAACTGGGCTTGCAGTTTTTCTTCTACATAGTTATTGTTTGATTTTAAGTTTTTATATAGTTCTTAGTTGTGAATGCCCTCAAAAAGTTTTCCTAAAGAGCACGAGTATGTTTTTATTAAATGCTAATTAATGACTTCGTTTTCCAGTTTACTAGGCCACCTTTAATGTCTATTAAAGTGAAATAAAACTTTCAACCTTAAACATTTTTATGTTGCTTAGTTTTTACTTGTCTTTTTTCTGTTCTAGGATACCACTTTGCATATAGTCACCTTGGGCTCTTGGTTTTGACAGTTTCTCAGACTTTCTTCAAAACCCTAACAGTTTTGAGGAGTACTGGTCAGGTATTGTGTAGAATGTCCTTCAAATGGAATTTGTTGTTTTTCCTATGCTTAAACTTAGTATTTTAAGAAAACTACAGAGGTAAAAGTGTTATTTTCATTGGTGGTATCAAGGGTGCATACTGTCAACCTGGCTAAGGTAGTATTTGTCCGTTTTTTAAATGTAAAGTTACTTTTTTCCTCTCTTTCTTTAGAAAGAAGTCACTATGTGCATCCCACACAAAAAGGAGTGGGGAATTATAGTTATAGTCCACCTCTTAAGGGCAGTGTATCTACAGAAATAATTTAGAATTTTTGTGTTTGGTGGATTTGCCTCTTGTCCCTATTTAATCATGTCCATATGAACAGTATTTTATATTTTGAGTTATCCAGTATTACTTGATTTTGTTTCTCAAATTGTTCCAGCTTTGGTTATTGTGACCTTTCATTTGGCTCCTGTATTTCTTTGTCATATCCTTGTTCTGTCATGGCGGGTTTGTTGTATTTTGGGGGGGAAGGATTTTTAAATTTTTTGAAATTTCTGTCACTTCAAGATGTTCCCATCAGCCATTTCTCCAAGAATCCTTGGTCTTTTTTATTGGAGAACGGCGTTAGAAACCATAATCTGGATGTTAGGTATACTCATTGCCGCCGAGGTATTTTTGCTTGCAGGAACACTCAGCTGATAGCAAAGAAACATATGTATATATTAACCTGTCTGAACACATATCTAAATATTTATGTAAGCAGCCATTTGTATCTATATTAAGCTAAACATGAGTTCATACTTATGTCTCCGACACTAACACATTACAATGTAGATCATTCTAGTGTCTACTCCTTGCTTATCTGTAACTTCCTACTCCTACAGGGAACAGCCTGGCTTCTGCCTTCTGTTATCTATTTACTTGTCATTTCCAGTATACATATATAAAGTATCAGAAGTATTAACCTCCCACGGCAAACGAATTTATTAACTAGAGTACAGTGCTTATGTATATGTAGTTGTTACTGATTTGTTTTTGGCTTTTATTCTTACTCATTTCTAGACTCAGTTGAGCACATTTTCCTCTTGTTTCTTCCATTGCAGTTGTTTCATATATTTGAAATAAGGCTTGCATTTCATTTTAGATCAGTTTGATAGAAGGTGCAATTGGGAGTGGTTTAAAGAGAAAAACCAGTTAGGGTAAGGGCACGAAAAACAAGCAGTAGAAAGAGAAGGGGATAAATTAAAGGAAATTTAGAATCTTGAACTAAAAGGAATTAGAGACTAGAGGGTGAAAATTTGAGGGCAACTCCAAGATTTTGGAACCAAAGGAGAGCATAAACAGGATAGTATAGAAAAAGGTTTTGGAGGAAGTGATTTTCACAGAGAACTGAGTCCACGGAATCTATAACATCCAGGTGAAGTAGTCCAGGCTATTAGTTCTGAAGCTTATAGTGAGTCCTTGTCTGGCTCTCAGGATTTGGAAATCATAAGTAAATAGGTACTAATGCAAATACACCATTTAGCTGATTTTGAAGATGCAAAGTTGATGGCATTCTGAACTTTTGAAGGCATCTTGCTTTCATTCAAAAAACGATGACAGTCTCTGCCTTGAATATACTACAGTAAGAGTACAAAGGCATTGGATAATGAACTATATAGATGTCTAACCAGTGTATTGTATACGTGAAACTAATTTAAAAAGTCTGATAAAGGATTGTTCAGGTTTACACCCTGAATATGCAGTGTGTGCCACCTAAACCACCTGTAACAAGTACCCGATAAGAAAGAAAAGTTTTTTACCGGAAGAATGGGGAAGAAAGGCTGGATGGACAAAAACAACATAAATTCAGTATAAATATTTTAGTTAGCATGATATATTCTTAAGGTAGTGGAAAATGTAAAGATTGTGTCAAATCCACAGGTTTTAAATGTTCGATAAATTAAGCTTGGCTTATTAGAATTAATGGGTTCCTTATAATTACAATTGTGTATAAAACTTTAAATGGTTCCCTACTAATGAATTGTGTATAAAACTTTAAATGGTTCCCTACTAATGAAAGCTGGATTCCAATAATGGACTGATCCCAGACTGTGGACATCATATTAGAAGCCAACTTGGCTGTTTTTGATGTCTTAAGGATTCTTGTAGTCCCACTCCTCCTTGCCCATAATAAAACTAGTTGAATTAGAAGCAGGAAAAGGTGGAGTCAAAAGTGGAGGAGGGGAACAAATTTAAGGGAGAAAACCATTGTCAAGATAATGAAAATCAGAATTAGAAGATATTTAGATGAGATTCTATTCTGATTTTACAGGCAGATATTTTTAAACCTTCAGGAAAAGTGGGTGTCTAATAACAGGACGTTATAATATACTGGATTCTATTAGGATGCTTCACAAATTCTGTTTGCGATTTAGGCTTAGGAATTTAGGAAGTAGTATAATTCAGAACTACAGAGATAATGATAGCTGATATTTTATTCAATAGCTTGGCAATTAGAACGTGCCAAGGACTTTGCTAAGTGCCTTTAATAGCTTTTCATTTCATCTTTAGAATACCCGCATGATTACAGACTATTATTCCTGTTTTACAGATAGAGAAACAAACGGGCAAGGGAAAGCTACATAACTTATATCACATGGGTAACATGATGCTAAAATTAGATTTTAAAATTAGGGACTTTGACTCCAAAGCTCGTAAACTCTTCACCATGACACTGAAGGCAATCTAGTCACTTTGCAAAACCTAAAATTGGAACTGTCATTTGTTTATTACTGTCTAGTCTTTTCTTCCTTAGTACCTAATGCCTGACTTACTGTGAAAAGTTGTTTTCAATTTTTGCAGTAAATTGAACCATTAACTTTTTTGATAAGGACCTCTAAAGGGCTGATGGGCACTTGACAGGAATTAAGGATGGAGTGTGCAAGACAGAATCAAAAGTCCAATGGCAATGAATTTGTCCTGCACAGGCAATTTATTCTAAGGTCTTATATATGTAAATAATAACTTTGGCTTTATTATCTGGACTTGAACAATTTTCTGTGTCTCTGTATTTGTAGAAGTAGATATTTGGAGGACGTACTTAGACAATTAACATGTTGCTCTAATAGGATGAAAGGAACATTGCATTAAAAGTAAGTATTAGTGTATTAGGCAAACAAATTCACTCTTCAGTCATGTAAACCTAGATAAGTTAATTGTGAAAAGTTAGGGAAGATGCCCCAACAAATTATAAAGATTTTTAAAATTTATTTTATAAATTACAGGACACTTCTTCCAAAGAGATCTCTAGCATACATGGATGATGTACTTACGTGTTATTAGACTTTGCCAGCTAATCTTGAGGCTAGCTGAGCTTTAGGTTTATTAAGTTTTTTCTCTCAAAGGAATTTTTCTGAGTTGGTAGGTATGAAATTACTGATTTTATTAATCTTTTTAATAAATATTTGTGAGCATCTTCAGTAGTGTAGCATTCTCTCTACTTAATTATTTCATTTTATTCAACAACACTTTAGGCACTTCCTGTGTGCTGGGAATAATTGACCAAACACACAGGCCTCTGCTTCTAAGGAGCAGAGGAAAAGA